CTTCAACTATTTTTAAACAATATTGTTGAATATCCCTTTGGCAAGACGAAAGGTTAATAATTAATCCCACAATAGTTATTAAAACTACCTGAATGAATATAGGTAGTCTAATGTTATAAATTGAATAAAGGGTGATGAGACAGGATGGAAGCAATAAAAAACGTACCTCTATCTTTAATCTTAATTTATGACAATAATTGTGAGAGAGTATACAGTAAGAGGAGACGGCACACCTGGTATTGTTTTTTTATGTCCCGACTCGAACTGTATCTGTATACATCGGGTAAGTCTGTCTGCTAATGGTAACCATTGCATTTAGATAGATAAATAAAATGAAAAGTAGGTATTCATTTTTTATGTCAATATTATTTAAGAATATATTATTAGTTCACTGCAAAAAAGTACAAAAATATTTTTGATTCAGCTTTATAAGTACTTTTTGTGAATTTCGACCTTGTTTATAGATACAAAAAAAGAATAAGTACAACAAAATGACAGAAAACAAAACCCTTATATATATGAAATATCTTTTCATTAATATTTTCGCCTGTAGGTCAGTATTGAGTACTGTCAGTATGGAGAAGGTTATTATAAGGGTAATAAGGGCCAAAGTACTGAAGGAATCGTCCCATCACAGAGGACGATTTCTCTCAGCTAGTAAGCAAGGATAAATACCCGTTCAACGAAGCTTTCGTCTATGAGTGGAGGAAATTAGTGGGAGTTGTAGGGTTACTATAAAAAGTAGAAAGTTCAAAGTAGGTGATGTGTGAATGCCGTCGAATATGTTTTAGTTAAATCTGAAATAAACTTCTTGAAACTAACTGGTTTTCTGGTTAATATTCTTTTAACACCTTTATCATACGAGGCTCAGGTTTCTGAATTCATTAATTCGTTCACAAGCGGTGACACCCTCCGACAAATAACTGTCCAAGGTACGGGAGCACATTTAAGTTTTCAGTTGAAACAAGGGAGGAAACAAAACGCGAGCTATAGAACAATTACCTCCCTACAGAGGGTAAGCTCCAGTTAGGGAGGTGTACGGAGTCAAGTGCAGTACATAAATTAGCATATCATACATATTAGTTAAGACTGTACTTGTAGCGGTCCAGGTACACCTTGGTTTACCCTTTTTAAATAGTAAATAATCCATATTCATCGAAGATTATATTCAGAAATTAAAAAATTGCATCGCATTCGTTATCCAATAACTCTGTACCTTCACATCTTTAAAATACTCGACTGTAATTTCTTAAAATGAAAACTTCTTTAAGGGCGTTTTCGGCTTTTTTTTTTTTTTGTGGAGAGTGAACTAGATTGAGCCGTCAGATTCCGATGTGTAATGCTCGGGTAAAGTCGGCTGTAGTCGATTAATTGAAATATTTTTGCATATGGATTAAAATACCTCTAAAAGTAAAAATCGGACATGCATATACATAGCAAGGGTAATATTCATCATTTCATTCTCTTTATAATGAGTCATTATTCAAAATTTTATCTAAACGAGACGCCGCACAGTGATCGATAGCGGCAAAAAACCTTATTTTCAAGGTTTTGTGATCATTCAATTATTTTATTTATTTATTTATATGATATTTACAACTGTATACATAAAATACATCTAGTTAATTCGCACATGGATATAATGACATGAAACACATGTTGAGAAACTACCCATTGGTAGCACTCTAATAATATGTCTATATTAGAAGATCACGTGGCCATCTTCTTTTCAGACGCCTCGGAGGGTTTTCAGGAATTGAATAGGAAGCAAGGTTAGAAACAAGAGGGTTGGGATGGTTATGAAGTTTATTATGGAAGGACAGATATCTGGATTGGGCCAAATATCATACATAAGGAACATTAAGGTCATTATGGATAATTTTATTTGTAACAAAGTAAGGAGCATTAAGGATTTTACGAAGGATTTTGGATTGTAAGGATTGGATGCGAGAGGAATTTGAAGGTTTGGTGGAGCCCCATAGCTCAGCTCCGTAAGTCCAAATAGACCTTATTATAGTCATGTAAATGAGTCTTTTATAATTAATTGGAAGGTTAGAGCGTTTGTCTAGTAAGTGTTGAAGTAGTCGGAAACGTCGAGCTGTTTCTCGTCGTTTCAGTCTGGTATGAGGATTCCAAGTTAGACGTTTGTCCAGATGGAGTCCTAGGTAACGGATTTGTTCAACAGGAATAAGTGAGGTGTTGTTAAAGGATACTGAAGGACAGGAAGTCATTAGTTTACGACGAAGGGTGAAGGTAATTTGATGGGATTTATTGGAATTTATTTTAATTCTCCAGTTCTAACACCATTCTTCAAGGTTTATGATGTGGGATTGAAGGGTTTGGGATGCAATGGGTCGTTATTAACTGAAAGGATACATGTGTCATCAGCATACGTGGTAATAACAGTGTTAGGATGGGTTGGCATGTCAGCTGTATAAACTGTGTAAAGGATAGGACCTAGGATACTACCTTGAGGAACACCTGCAGACTGGGAAAAGCTCGATGTATAGACATTGTTGTGATTTACTTTAAAGTATCTATCAGTAAGGTAGGAACGGATAATGAGGAAGTATGTAGATGGTAGGAATTTTCGGAGTTTGTACAGCAGTCCCGGGTGTAGTTGTCGGATAGTTAACTCATATATTCCTAGAGATTAGGCACGAATAGAAACACAAGTTTCAAATATATTCAATAAAATATAAGTAATAAGCCGGTTTCTGTCACAATAACTATCCAACTTGTTATAAATCATTAAATATATTTTAGGCGTTTTTGCTGAATTCTCAACATATTCTTTGTTGTGAAAATTGTTGAAATGAGTCAAATAAGTTCTTTAATAATTTATTTCTTAATAAATTCAAACATTTCGTATTTTCGTTGGATAAGTATCACTCAACGGATCTTAGAATTTCTTTTTTCCATCGGAAAGCCAATGTCTTACTGTAATCAAAATCTTATTTGAGCCCTCTGCTAGGGATAAATACAAAAATCCGAATTGAAAAATTTGATGTTTTGGTAATTATCTGACAGAATTAGCAATAATCAGACAAAGAAACTTAAACCAAAAATGAGCATAAAAAAATTCCCACCGGTATCTAAATAAATGTATACCTAATATTGTTAATACCTTTTCGTGATAGAAAACTGGAGGAAACATAAAAAATGAAAGAAAATGCGAAGGAAAAGATTGAAGAGAAATTCGAAAAATTTCGTGACTCACACAAATGTGGAAAACTCTTATTTTTGGAATACGAGTTGATTGAGGCATTATGAGAAGGAAGCGACGATTTTAACGATTAATCTAAGAAGACAATACTTATATAAATCAGCATGTAAATTAAAAATTAGGTTTTAGGGAAATTAATCGATGTTTTGAGAGAAAATAGACACTCCGAGACGTAGCTTTTTTTATCTTTAATAAGAGATAGATTCTAAAGAATAAGGCATTAACAAGATTATATAGTAAACTATATTCAGATCAGTTGGTAATATTGAAATATCTTATTACTGTTATTCATCTACCTTTTTTTTTTTTAATTATGGCAGACATGAAACTTTAAACTCTTGTCACTTTCACTGTAAAACGTTTATTCACATACTCCAAAGTTATAAAAAATTAATAATTTCGTCTTATTATTTATTGAAAACAAAGAAAAATTTTATTAAGATTTAAAAAAAAAAAAAAGTGTCATAGATTCATTTCTGAAGGCCAATAAACGAAGACAGTAGATAGTCGGTGGTACAGACCCCTCTTTATCAAATTATTAACATCTGGCTGAAACTTCGTAAATAGCTCCATCTATCCGTAACCTACAAATATTTTATTTACGAAAATTCTCGGAATTGGGGCGTTTACAATCTGGGAGTCGGCGAACTTTCTCCATTTAATTAGGTACTAAATACCCATTTGCTTTCAGCTTAAATCGTAAGATAACTTCAGTACAAAGTCGAGGAAAACTTTGGCCCTTCAAAATATTGAGCCGTTTGGCGTGATCTAAACCCCCAAATTGTCAAAATAACGAGGTTATATAGGCCAAACGGCTCAATATTTTTGAAGGGTTCCTTTTTTCTTCACTTTGTGCTCAAGTTATCCTACGATTCAAATTGAAAGCAAATGGATATTTACAAGTTTTTAGTACCTATTAAAATGGAGAATGTTTGTCGACCTCCAGATTGAAAACGCCTCAATTCTGAGAATACTCTTAAATAAAATATTTGTAGGCTATGGTGAGATGAAGCTAATTACGAAGTTTCTGTTCGATGTTAATAATTTTATAAAAAGGGGTCTGTACCACGGACAAAGAGCGTTAAGTGACGGTTTTGAATTTGCTTGTAATGTCGGATACCAATATATGTATTTTATACCAGACAATGAAAAAGAAATCGATGATGTTGGTCTAAGTGATACTTTATTATAGAAATGTTATATTTGGATTTTAAATTTTCATGAAATATAAAAACACATAAGTTTTAGACAAAAATAGCTTACAAATCATTCAATGACTTATTTTAACAATAACAGATTAGTCTGAATGAGGACGAAGTATTTTATTGTCAATAATATGGCATTTAGACTTTTGTCCTGCTAGATTCGCAATGGGCACCACTCTGCAACATGGTCGCCCGTAGCCATTAGCCATTTATTCTCCTTTGAAAGAAGAACATATTACGATGAAAAATTAAATAAAAAAACTCTTTGGTTAATCAGTATTTGATCAAGAGTATAATTTTGGCTACTAAATCGAAAAATGTAATGGAGACCAGTAATCATCTGGTGGGCCAATGAAAACCATACCGTACCGGAAGACGTACATCATCTATTGAGGAAGCAGAATCAATGTTCTTAGATGAGCCTAACAAATATATTTAATATACTTTCAATATTTGACAAACATTCTTGGAATAGGTTTAATCAAACAATAGGTAGTATAAAAGAGGTTATGTCTTATTATAATCAAATTTAACAATGAATAATAAAAAAAAACATTAGGCCAATAAATGAGGAGATGTAATGGGACGAAAAGTTATATAAAGGATCCTCAACAAGAGATAAGGAAGTTTTTCGATAAAGATGAAGGTGCTATTGATCACTTTGTTTCTGATGGGATTCATCTGCTCAGTGTTACCAGCGCCGGTAGACCTGAGGGAAGTGGCGGAGACCTTGAAGGACGTCCTCTTCGACGCCGTGTTCCCCAAGAAGCAGTCGGAATCTGAACAAACCGGGGTAAGAAAACCTGAAGACATGCCTGAAGGTGCATTTGAACACCTATTTAGAGGAAATTCGGGACCTCAATACCCTCCGCACAAGACTGAAGACGAACCTTATTGTGAGTTTTCGTCCTCTTTCTTCATTTTATTCATGTCTGTAAGGACTCTGACGCGCTTAGTATTCATCAATGTCCTTCGAAATAATAAAATTATAAAGTTAGCAGGAAGTTTACGGCTGTCATAATCCATATCTGGGCGACTGTGACGTGCGAAAGTGACACGAGAACGAAGGTGTTAATCGACTCGGTGTCTGACGTAGTTTATCAAAAATTAAACCTTTAAGAGCTACTTTTTTAGATATTATCTCAACACCCATGGTGTACAATCTCCAGACTGCTTATCACGGTGTGTCATTGTTTGACGCATGCCTCCTTCCCTTTCAAGAAATTATTTGATTTAGGCCACAGGTGGAGAATCTGGACCCTTGATATCGCGTTTGGTCTCCGTAAGCGACTTCAAATATTGAGAATGTTGAATTAAGTTGAATATATGTATATGGGTGTGTGTAAGTGTATCTATTTTCTCATCAACTTTGTTTTTCTACTTACACGTGCCAGAACCAACGATTACCACCGAGTGCGCTGTCGGGAAGTAGAGCTGTTGGTAGGCGTGAGGGAGAGGGGCACCCAAAAGAATACCTTCCTATCTTGATTTTAATATTTGTAGTTAATAGAGGACATCTCTCATCCAGCTTCTTTTGAACATTCTACGGGTGTTATCGGGCATGTTGATTGTCCCCATGCCTTGAATCAGTTAGTAGGTATGTCGGTGTAAGTTATTATATTTATAATCTGTGTAGGGTAATGTATCTACTTATAAATAAAATTAGCAACAGTAAAATATGAAAAATTGTTGCGGCCAGCATTATCACTGCATTATAACGTTAATGCGGCCTCTGATTATAAAAAGTACAGGCTATCGTTTAGATTTTCCCTTGCTTAATACAAAGGTTTGAAATTTGTCTCAAATCGGAATCTTACTAAAATATTGTTCCCACCAAAAAAATACCACGCTAATAAATAATACATAATAAACAAATAATGCAGTGGTGCGCCATTCTCTGGGCTATTATTTATTTATTTTAAAATTTAAACTTAAATAATAATAACAGGAACAGCACAATAAAATAAAATATATTATCAAATACATTCAATCTGATTAAATGAAACTAGCATTACTACACTTTCTTACAAAATAATGTGTTCATAGTAAAATATAACAATCCAAGTAAAGAAAAAGAAAATAAATAACTAAGCTATTACAATTTTTTGTATTATTTTCTTTTTTCATCGTTTTATATTTTTTCTTCTGATAATGTTATAAAAGTCGTCTTTCTTGTGTAGATTTTCAAGAAGTATACCATTAAAAATAATAAATAAATATGGTATATCATAATAATAAGAAAGATAAATCATAAAAAATAAAATAATAATGGTATATGATTAAAAAAAAAAATATATATATATATATATATATATGTAGAATAAAATTGATAAAATGGAAAGTTTTTTTTATAAAATATTATGTATCTACTATCTCAAATGTAAAAAATAGTGTAGTGAACTAAGTGTGCAATATTGGACAACGCTATACGCAAATAAAAGTTGACAAAACATTTTAAAATCTGAATATGCCTCAAGAAGCGAAAATTTGAATAATTATTTTATTAATGTTGACTAAAAAGGCCTAAATTTTTTTCATTGTTAATTTTTAATGTTAATTTATTTCGAAATAGATAAATTGTGTCATTATCCTATAAATGATAAAATAATAAAATGTTATGCATAATCTTCCAATTGAAAACAACAAGAATTTTTCGCAATATTTACGGCACTGTTATTATCTTCTTCATTTATGTTGATGAAGCCTTGTTATTTTTACTTATTAAATCATTTCATGTATTTAACAGTGTAATAAAGTATAATTAGTGCTACGACTAAATTAGAGCAGCTTAATTTACATTTATATTGTTTGTATAAAGAAGAGTTATATATTTCGTTCGAAAAAAAGAGTGCCAGAATACAAAAAATTTCTTTTTCTTTGCTTGGAAGACTTCTTATATTCACCTATATATCTTTGAGAAAATGTTTCAGATATTGTATTTTAATATTTGCAGCAATATGAATTTATTTTAGTTTAGGTACGCGAACATACGTCTGATATCCAAAGGTTTCAAATTGTTGAACATCTATGGCCTATATTTTCCAACTTTGTGTATGGCGATCACTGCTATTCGGTTTTCTTTATCACCCACTCCATATTAACTGATTAGGATTATTATCCTGACATGTAAAGAAAATAACTTGATAGAGGAAAGAATTATCTAAATAATACTCAAGGATGTAAACAAAGTTCAACTTTTGTAACAGTATTTATGGCAGAACTAGGTATATATTTATTATGTCTTTTTAATTTGTGTAACTTATTACATATTTCATTTGTCTCTTCATGTATCATCCATTACTATGTTTTCATTTTAGCCTTTACACAGTATTTATATTTCAATACATTAGATGAAATTTAACAATAAATTTGAAAGTACAAAATATTTAAGAAATTAAAAATTTTAATAATGTTTATGTAAAAATTAAATTTTGTTAAATATTTGAGTTATTTCAAGAAATAAAAATATTTTTTTTTGTCATTTTGGTAGTGTTTTTCAAAATGTTGGCAATATTATACTCCAGTGCCACTTTATTCCGTTGTGCTTCATAAGCATAACATTCAGTTAAAATGTGTCTGACTGTCATAGCCTTGGAGCCAGGTCCCAAAAATCGACCTGATCGCAGGCGAGGTTTTGAATGTAAATTACTAAAGTATATGTTATTCTGAGTAAAATAAACTGCCATTCCAGAACCGCTGCTATAAAAAAATGGCGGCTAATTTAAAGAATATTAGGCCTGTAACTTGAGGATCTAAACGTGATATCCATTGAGAAAAAATGTGAGAAAAGGTTTCATTTTTTTAATTTGTATATGTGGTTTGTTATATAAACATGTGAAAAACAAAATTTCTAACGCGGGCCACCGAGGTAAAACTTTTTACAGCCAAAAAAGTCAGATATTTTCGATATTTGTTTTGTTTTTTCATAAATATAACTCCTAAATGATACGAAATTCATTGTTTAAAAAATTAGAGGACGTTAAATTTTACGTCGAAGGACTACCTAAACCTAATATTTTGATTAAGTGTTATGGTAGAAAACCACGGTCAACGAACGCTGTCTTTTACCAAATTTGTGAAAAACCGAATCAAATTGCTATAAATGACCCTATAGCTTGGAATTGAGTTCCTTAAGAGGATACACGTATAGAATCAAAGATGTAGAGCATCAAATTTTGCGTCCACTGAGTAGCAGCTATTTTAATGTACATCGCTTACTCCTTATAAAATCGTTAATCTTCCGATGGTTAGTAATTGGTAATGAAGGTATTCGTGATTTTCAATAATTCAACAGTATGGGTGTCTATTCTACTTAGTTATTTTTGTTTAGAGTCTTGTTACATGCAGTATAAGCCTCTTTCCCACCTCTCAGCAGCGAAGGATTTTGATAAACGATGTGTGAAAAGATACCGATTACATTAAGAAATAACGAATCCCGATTCAAGATATATAATTTGTCTACAATAAAAACGTCAGTAATCAGTGAATGATCTACAACTTTGATTCAATGGGTTTTCCCTCTTAGGGAACTCATTTCCAAGTTACAGTAATTTGTCTAAATTTTTGACAAATTTGGTAAAAATCAGCGTTGGTTGACCGTGATTTTCCACCATAACACTCAACCAAATTATTAGGATTACGTACTCATGAGTTAATCTCTGACTGTATTAATCAATTTACAGACCTGATGATGACCCACATGTTTGGGTTGAAACGTCGGCACCAATAAAAATGTTTAAAATGACTTTGTCCTGACTATTCGTCACTCGTTATATGTAGAACAGTCGACTAACTTTCCTCTACTTAGTTCAGTGTTAGCATCCGAAGAGAGAAGACGTGTTTCTATAGTCGCTCACAGATAAGATTTATTAATTTGTTTTTTTTATAACTTTTCACTTATTATTTGTTATTTACTATAAGGATATATATATATATATATATATATATATATATATATATTTTTTTTTTTAATATAAACTATAAGGATATATTTATTTTATTTTATTTATCAATTTTTTTTCTTCTTCTTTTTCTCTTCATTAATTACTTTCTTTTATTACGTTTTATTTTATATTTCTATGGGGAACCCCATAGATTTAAATAGCCCAAAGGTTAAACGAAAACGACCTCGGGGTCGTCTTAAATTTGAAGCCGAAAATACGGATGGTGCGATAACAATTAGCCCATCGTTCTTAATAATAGACAGATCAGATAATCAAAATTTTGAAAAAGTATCCCCGTTCTTAGTAAATAAGTTTCATTCGGGTTTAATAGGAGACTTAAAAAATGTGAAAAAGCTGAGCAATGGTACATTACTTATTGAAACAAAAAACAGAAAACAATCACAAGAACTATTAAAATGTAAAAATTTTGGTGGCCAGTTTCCTGTACAGGTTTCCCCCCACAATACCTTAAATTACAGTAAAGGAGTGATTCGATGTTACGATCTCCAATTTCTAGAGATAGACGAAATTAAAAATGAATTGTCTTCAGTGATAAAAGACATATTACGCATTAAAATAAAAAAAATGGAAATGAGATATTGACAAATTCTTATATCATGACCTTTCCTACACCGAGAATTCCGGAAACAATTAAGATAGGATTCCATACGGTTAATGTACAAGATTATATTCCTAATCCCCTTCGCAGTTTTAACTGCCTAAACTTTGGACACCCTTCGAATGTCTGCAAACAACAAAGTAAATGCATTCAGTGTGGGGAACCAAAACATGAAGATAACGTGAGATGTACGCGCCAAGCCCGCTGTAGTAATTGTGCCCAAAATCACAACTCATTAGATCGTCGATGTCCAATTTTTATTATGCAAAAAGAAATAAAAACTATCCAAACCATAAATAAAATATCTTTAAACGAAGCAAAAAAAAATTATAAA